CTATGGTTTTTAGCTATGCTTGCAGAACTAGACAGACATCAAGCAGGTGGTGACTTCCTCCTTAAAGTAGATATTACATATTGTTAATATATTGCAACAACCTCTGCAATTCTTAACTTTGCTTTGTGTTGAGATTTGTTTGTGTAAGAGTATAAAGCAGTGAGCTGCTTTCCTCCATCTTTGACTGTAATCTTCTGTCTGGCAGCCAGTGGAGCTATGCAGTGCTGCATCTCCCTCAATTACTACATTTCCTGTCCCAATAAACTGTCTTTTCATTTGTTTCCAGGTCAGCTTTTTTATTTGTCTGTGAACACGATCTGTCTCAATTATTCTTCAATGACTGGATTTGGGAAAGAAAAAGTTCTTTACTCTCCCACTTTGGGAAGTTTTAACTTTACTTTTAATTGTAGTTGTTTTTATAATTCATTCCTCTGGGAGTCATGATCCACGTAGAAGTATTGCCTCCAGGGAAACAGGATAATGAATGTATTATTCCTTTTAATTTCCATGTTCCAATAAGTTGCAGAAATGATCATAGAAAATTCACAATATTGGGTGTCGTTGCTACAGGACAAGTCAGGGAGTACCATCTTCTCAGGAAAATCACCCATATATCCTCATGATAATCATGATTATATCATTCACTCCTTTGCTTTCTAAGATCCAAAGACTGTCAGAAGGAAAAAACAATTGATAGAAGTTATTTCAACCATGGTTGATATCCAACCATGCAGTTATTTAAAAAGGAAGACTCTGAAACCATTGAAACCATGCACTGAACACCCGTAAAATTCGGAGGTACACTTCATCATGTAAGTAGAACACTTGCAATCTATTCCTCTTACAACTGATGTTCTTTGCTCCTACTGGTGAAATGAGACTTTGTTGTCTTCACTTGAATGTTTAGTTTCTGCCTTTAATTCAGCTGCTGCACTCTCAGTTGATGTCCTCAGGATGCCTGGTAGTTACTGACTTTTAAACTAACTTTTATCAGATCACAGAAAACTTTTTTTCTAATGTTGCTGTATACCACTGAATTGGTACCAACTCATAGCTGACTGTCCAGTGGCTTTTCAGAGAGAGTAAATCATAAGAGAGGAGGTTTTCACCCTCCCATGAGACAGCAGATGAATTCAAACCAAGTGCCTTCCGGTTGGGAGCACAACACCTAACCACTAGGCGACCAGTGCTTGTATCTAATGTAATTAAAGGTCGTCGAGTCAGAATGACTCATAGCTGACCCTCTAGTGCTTTTTCAGAGTCAGTAAATCACACAAGAGGAAACTGCCCAACCTTCTCTTTCTAATAGTATAGCGTAATCCAAGTTTCATCTGACCTTTTTCACCAAATCCAGAAATATGTTCTTTTTTTTAAGCATAGTTATAGAACTATCTTTTTATAGCTCATCATACTATGTCAACAGATGTTGTTGTTGATTGCCTTCGAATAGAGCATGGCTAATAGTGACCCTATGAACAGAATGCCCCTTTACATTATTATCAACATTTTTCAAAATTCATAGTTTCCAGAGACATGTAATTTAGGAAGTGGATGAAATAATATCATTAATATCAGATGCAAGCAATATTCTTCTGAAAATTATCCAAAAACGACTGGAGCAATATGTCAACAGAGAACTTGCCGATGTGCAGGCTGAATTTAGAAGAGGTCATGGTACTAGGGATATTGTAGCTAATGTCAGATGGAATTTGGCAGAAAGCAGAGAGTACCAGAGAAATGTCTATCTGTGCTTCATTGACTATGCAAAGGCTTTTGACTGTGTGGATCACAACATGCTATGGCTGACTCTGAGAAGAATGGGAATCCTGGAATATTTGATTGTGCTTATGAAAAACTTAGACCAAGAGGCAGACATCAGAGCTGAGCAAGGAGACACTACACGGTTCAAAATCAGGAAGGGGGTTCTGCCAGGAATGTATTCTGTCTCCATACCTTTTCAATGTGTATGTAGAACAGATTATCTGGGATGCTGGGTTGTACAAGGAGGAATGTGGCATCAGGATCTGTGGAAGATTCGTCAACAACCTGCATTATGCAGGTGACCCAACCCTGCTTGCTGAAACCAAGGACGATCTGAAGCGCTTGCTGCAGAGGCTGAGGACTGCAGCCTTCAATATTGATTAAAACTCAACATCAACAAAACAAAGATTTTCACCACTGGACCAATTGGCAACATCAGTATGGATGGTGAAGAGATTGAGAAAGTTAAGTTTTAGTTTGCTTGGCTCCAAAGTCAATGTTCTTGGTACCAGCAGCCAGGAAATCAAGAGATGAATTTGATTGGGGACGCGAGCTGTCAGAAACCTCTCCAGAGTACTGAAGAGCAATAGCATCAGGCTGGAGACTAAGGTTTGCCTGATTTGGGCTATAGTCATCCAATTGCGTGTTATACATCGGGGAGTTGGCTGGAAAAGGGTGTTGAATATACCATGGACTGCTAGGGGAGCAAACAGGTTTGTACTGGAGCGGATGAAGCTGGGCTGTTCCTTGGAGGCAAGGATTCTGAAGCTTCGTCTGGCATACTTTGGGCATTTTGCAAGGAGCGACAGGTCCTTGGAGAGGGACATCATGTTTGGGATAGTGGCGGGACAGTGCAGGAAAGGAAAAAAAACCCTCAATGAGATGGATTGATTCCATGATTAGGGTGGTGGGAGTAAGTGTGCCGGAGACGGTGAGGTTGGCACAGGATAGAGCAGGGTTTAGGGCTCTTGTACATAGGGTCGCTATGAGTTGCAAGCGAATCGATGGCACAGAATGAGAACATAAAGAATTATTAAATACCCCACAAAATTGAGTAAAAACTGAATAAATGTGTGAGTAAATAAACAACAAAAAAATCTGAACCAGAGGACACTGGATTTTGCTTGATATCCACTATTTGTAATGTATTGACATATTTTACCTACTTCATCCACCACAATTACAAAAAACAATATGTACAGTCATATAAAATTCCAAATTTGTATTATTTTGAATTAACTACATTTATAATGCAATATAAATACTTTAAGCTATCAGTTTATTAAATAAAATCTCTCTGCAACAAGTTTCCTGTTTTCTCTGAATTTATGTTCCTTGAATTTTATTATAGTCTGAACAGTCTTTTTTTATTATTATTAAATTTTATTAGTTTTAATGAACATTTACAGAGATTTTGGGTTTTCATTCATTCATTGTTGCACTGTTTTCTCCACCCTCATCCCCAGTTCGTTCTTCTTTCCCCCCCCCCCATGTCTGTTTTAGTTGTCCAATTGCCTTTAACTCTTATTGCTTACCTAAGATATTTAAAACACAAAGCTCAATTTGTCAATCATGCTTGCAGATGATTCAACTTATCTACCAAAGTCTAAGAGAAATGTAGTTAACAGTAAAAAACAAAACAAAACAAAACCCCAAAACCACAACACCAAACTGTTGTCAAAAGTCACATATTACACCTTTTTATCTTATTTTTATAAGTCAAGGAAAAGCTTTTACTAACTTTCCAATATGAGTCTTTGTGGAGAATGCTTGAGCCTGATTTCATATTGCTTAATAATTGATTGAGAATGTTGGAGCTATTGAGCTGTGTATTTTGATTAAATGTCTATTATATGTTCATGAACATTTTCATTTAAATAGTTTTATTTTCAATGAAAATACAGATACCTAGAAAACATTTTGTGCACCACAACAAGATAAACAACTCAGTTGCAAAGTGGGCATAGGATATGTAGAGACACTTCACCAAAGAAGACATTCAGATGGCGAACAAACACATCAAGAAATGTTCAAAATCCCTAGCTCTAAGAGAGATGCTAATCAAAACAACTATGAGATATTATCTCACCTCATAACAAAATTCTACAGAGGAACAAGCAACAAATGCTGGTGAGGTTGTGGAGAAACTGGAACCCTTATGCACTGTTTTTGGGAGTTTAAAATGGCACAACCACTATGGAAGCTTTCTCAAAAAGTTAGAAATAGAAATATCATTTGACCCAGCAATTCCACTACCTGGAATATACCCTAAAGAAGCCAGAACTGCCACCCAAGTAGATATATGCACACACATGTTTATTGCTGCATTGTTCACAATAGCAAAGAGATGGAAATAACCCAAGTGCTCATCAATAAACTAATGGATAGAGAAGCTGTGGCATAGTTACACAAT